CTCAGCACGTGTGGGGGCAGTTGTTATCCTCGGCACGTGTGGGGGCAATTGTTATCCTCGGCACGTGTGGGGGCAATTGTTATCCTCGGCACGTGTGGGGACAGTTGTTATCCTCGACACGTGTGGGGGCAATTTTTATCCTCGGCAGGTGTGGGGGCAGTTGTTATCCTCGGCACGTGTGGGGGCAATTGTTATCCTCGGCACGTGTGGGGGCAATTGTTATCCTCGGCACGTGTGGGGGCAGTTGTTATTCTCGGCACGTGTGGGTAGGGATGAGCAGAGGGCGAACTCGAACATGTTCGAGTTCGCTCCCTGTCGAACATGTACTTTTGCCGAACCGAACAGTGTTCGGTTCGGCGAACTATTTGGCCGAAAATATGTGTTCGCCGTTCGCCCTAGGAGGCGAACGATTTTTTTCAGCAAGCGAACACGAACATGTTCGTGTTCGCCCAGGGGAAAATTCACTATAGTCACACATGTCAGAAAACAGTTTTCAAGGTTCAGGATGATAGCAAAATGTGTGCATGCAACGAACCCAATAGTACAACATCAAATGCTGTGAAGGGAAATGTCAAAGTCTAACAAATTCCTACACTAAGGCGCCACTGCTACTACCAACAACGGCATCCTCTCCACCAGCTGTGTCGTCAGCCTCCACACCCTCCTCCTCCTCCTCCTCGTCATCCTCCTCTGCCCCCTCGCCCTCAATGGCGAACTCTGGTGGTGCGACGCCTCTCGGTCGGCGGCCCTCGCCTATCCTCTGGCCAGGGTGTTAACTGTACCATGATCTGAGAATCATGACAGCTCGCGTCCTCTGAGAGGCCAGGCGGTGCCGCTTCCAGGAAATGAGGTTGCGACCAAGGGAGAACACCCGCTCACTCAAAGCGGATGTGGCAGGGATGGCGAGATAATCCCGGGCCATGCGCCTCAGCGTCTGCATGTTGGTGGCACTGCGCCAGTACTCTAGCGCTGTCACGTCGCACCGCACCCTCTCGGACAAGTACCTGCTAACCTCGTCATCCTGCACCATCCCACCCGCCCCCGCATCCTGGCTCGCCGACAGACGCGCCGCAAGTCGTCGGCTACTAGGGAGAAACTGCGCGTCATCGTCGTCCTCCTCCTCGTCTCCCTCGTCCTCCTCTGCAACGGGGGCAAGTGGGGTCGGCCGTGGAGCAAGCTCTGCAGCCCGGGCCTGGTACTCGGCCACGCGGTCGCGCACCAGCTTGATCACCTCGCCAGACGCCGGACGCGGCCTCACCCTCCTGTCGGTCTCGGGATGCAACTTCTCCCAGTGCGCGTCGTCAAACCACGCCGCCTTCATGGATGGGTCCAAGAAGGTGGCGATCCAGTACTCGTTGCTGGTGATGTAGGCGTATTTCTTCAAGTGGCTTAGCGCCGCCACGATCATCGGCTGCAGCGTCGGAGATGGCCCCTTGGCAAGGCGCGACTCCATGGCGTCGATCAGGCCGTTGTAGTACGGCACCACCATCGACACAGTCGGGTACGCCGCCCCCTCTGCTGCCTTGGAGACCTTGGCGAAGGGGCTTAGGAATGTCTTCACCGCCTGCAGGGTCTCCCAGTCTGCGTCTGTCAGGCGCAGACTCTCCACCTTCTTCTTGTCGGTCTTCGACAGGCCCTGTCGGGTAGAGGGAATGGTTTGGGGGGAGGTATGAGGGAAACTGTGATTATGGAGGAAGATTTTGGCATCCGGCCGGCAACATACAAGCTTGACCAACAATATTGTGTAGACGTGCTAACACACCACACCATGACATAACCACACACTACAACAACCCACACAAAACACATGTGTTACCTGTGTCTGGGCGAAGAAGACTGTGATGGGGTTCTGCAGAACAGCCGCACGCTCGACCATGTCGTGGGTCGACCCCCAGCGCGTAGGACTGTCCTGCACCAGCTTCAACGCCGGCTTCGGCGTGGCGGGGTTGGCCTGCGAGTTCAAGGTCCGCTGTAGGCCCAAGAAAGACCCCGAGCGCTGTGGAGAGAAGCCAATCCATGACGCCATCTCTCTCAGTATCTTCAGCAACTTCCGTATGGAATCCACAGCCAGTGCTGCCTGCACTGCAAGGTTTATCACGTGTGCCAAGCACCTGCGCACGGAACAGAACATTAGGGAAAGAGACAAGGGGAAGTTGGAGGACACATGGTTAGAGCGAGCCACAAAAACCAAACCAGACCCCTCACAACCTACAACTCGAACCGCACCGGGCCACCCCTCCATACAATTACAAATTGTCCATGCTGGAACGACACACCCACAAAGGCAAACACACGCCCACATTCCCGCACGCCCAACCCACGCACACTCCCACACTCACCGGAAGTGCATGCACGAGCTGAAGAAGCACTGACCACCACCCTCCTCCGACATCCGCCTGAAGGCGGCAATGTTGCTAGAGGCGTTGTCTGTCGTGAAACCAAGACAACGCCCCTCCAACCCCCGCTGCACAACCGTCTCCTCAACCACCTGCGCCATCTCCCTGCCCCCATGCCGCCCGAGCATCTCACGGAACTCAAGCACCATTGTGCGCAGCTGGAAGTTCTCGTCTATCCAGTGACCTGTCACCACTAGCCATGCCTTGTTGTTGGGTGCCGTCTACATGTCGATGGTGATCGACACCTTGCACCCCAGCTCCCCCTCCTTCGCCAACATCTCCGCAATGGTGGACTGGAGAGCTGCTGTTGCATAGACCACGGTGTCGCGGGATACCGTCCAGCGCGAGGGGATGAAGTTCTTCTGCGCGCAGTTGCGGTTTAGCAGGATCAATAGCTCCCGAAATTGGAGGAGGGTAGAGTAGAGACAACGAGGGAGAAGGTTTTCAACATCAAGGGGATGGTTTTGAGACAAAGTGGCACACGATTACAATAGAAGCATCAAACAGTCAACCACATACTGCCAAATCCCCTTCATACAGCAGGCATGGGACACTCACGGCCTCGGACTCGACGATGCGGAAGGGGAGGTCGCAGGTGACCACCAGCTTGGCGATCGCCTGCCGTAGCTCCTCCGTGGACAGCTTGGTTGTCATGAACCGCTCCATCCCGCCCGACCCCCGAGCTCCACCGGACACCGTCCCTTTCTTCTTTGCGAGATGCGGCCAAGACTTGGCATGCGGCCACCCATCGACGTAGCCATCCGGCACACCCTTGTAGCCCCCACGAGGAAACGTCTCCCCAGGCAAGTGAACGGACGGAGTGTGGTAACGGTGATGCCACACGTGCATGTGCGCTGTGTGGTAGCTCTCGAAGTGCCGCTCGCCGGGTGTTGTTGTGGATTGCTTCCACGAAATCCTGTCAGTGCAAATCTTGCACTGACGCTTCTCGTCTGCCCCTTTAGGCCCGAACATCTGTACTTGCCACCCCGGTTTCTTATTACCCTTGCCAGTCCCCTTACTACTCTCGGACCCTCCGTCCTCGTCTAGGAACTCCGGAGCGACCACACCCTCGCCCAAGGGCTTCCTAGTGAATGTGCAGGGATATGCTCGCTCCCTTAACTTGCTCGCCCTCTTCCTCCGCTTCGGCATCCTAATGGATGCCCGCTTTCTCCCCACCTTAACCCCCACGCTCCCTCCTCCTCAGCCACATGCTGTGAGGCCGCCTCTGTCGCCGGCCCTTCACCACCCTCTCCCACCCCCTCCTCCACCTCCTTTGGCTCCAACCCATCCATCTCATGGTCCTCCTCATCATCCCCCCCTTTCCCACCGCCATGCGTCTCGGGATCCCACCTGGCCTCACTGTCATCCCCGCTCCCCTCATCGTCCTCATCCTCCTCGCCCTCACCCTCCTCCTCCTCATCCTCCTCCCCACTGCCACTCTCCGGCTGCGTCTGCCCAGAAGGAGGGGGTCGTGGGCCTGAGTAACGGAACGAGTGACGGGACGTCGGCGCCGCTACGGAAAGAAACCCCCCGACGAAACAAGCGCCGGCTCCTGCAGGTCCATCCCGTACTCGCCCCTGCATAGGTCGTGGTGGAGAACCTGGTGTACCGCCCTGAGCGCTGCCTGCACCTCGTTCTACAGATCCATGTTGGCTGGAAGCCATAAATCCGCCCTCGGCCTTAAAACCCTAAAACCCCAAAGGAACGGTCGCAAGCCACGGATAGCACGGTCCTAATTAAACTCCTAGTTACGTGTGGCACGGAGAAATGTCCGCCCCTACAACTAGAGAATTGACCTCTACGAAATTGATTCCGTAGCTACTACGAACTAACCCCTCGCGATTTCTGAAATTACCCTTCACTACTACGAACTACTTAGTTGAAATGTTCGTGTAATAGTTAGGGAACGGTGTGTGGTGGCTCTTAAAGGGATGAAGCCTATGGTGGTTGAGGGAGGGAGGGCTAACCAACAAAGACGTTTTGAGTTTGAGCTCAAAAAATGAGCTCAAACTCAAATTGGCCGCGACCTAAATTTGGTCGCGGCCAATTTTGACGCGAACACTTTGGTGTTCGCGTCAAGCCCAAAACGAACACGAACATGTTCGTGTTCGTCCACACTCCGCCAAATGGAGGTGGCGAACGGCGAACATGTTCGGCCGAACACCGAACATGTTCGCCTCGAACTATTTTTTTCTAAAAAAAAAATAGTTCGCCTCGAACTATTTTTTTCTAAAAAAAAAATAGTTCGGTTCGCCTCGAACATGTTCGAGGCGAACCGAACAGGTGTTCGAGATCTTGCTTATGTCTACGTGTGGGGCAGAGAGGACAGAGAATTGTTAGCTGCAGCCATCAGAGGTGGCTGAATCACAAATGTGGGACGACCAACGGTGTTGGGTTGACCAACCACAATGGTTTGTGCTTGGAGACTTGATTGCATAGGGTCGGCATCTTAGCACAAAAGCATACCCAGCAATTCGTACAAGCACACAAAGGTAGCTGTCTACACGAAAGCACACAAAGCCCCATCCCCATCCCCCTCCCCATCCCACTCCCTTATCCCCATCCCCATCCCCATGCTCTCCGCATGCCCATGGCGGCTGGCAGGACCTTGAGGCGCGGCACAGGCTGCTCACTGCACGCCTGTCTGCCATGCAGGGTGCCACGCACGCCCGTGAGAGCAGCACCACTGCTGGCACTGCAGTGCCCGGCCCAGCCGCTGCCACCACTGCCGCGTCGCTGCATGATGCCAGGGGTGCTGCTGCTGGCTCGGGTGCTGCTGGCTTGGGTGGAGAGGTGCAGCAGCAAGAACATGGAGGGGGGGAGGGGGAGGGGCAAGAGGGATCAAGGCATGTGCAGGGAGATGCAGCAGCGGGGGACGACGTGAGAGATGATGGGGCGGAGAGGGAGAGTGAGACATCTGGATGTGAGCATGAGATGCAGCACGAGCTGGTGAGTTGACACACCATGCCCACGCACCTTCTCCCCTCCTCTTTCACCTGCCTTCTTCTTTGCTCTCCTCCCCTCCTCACAGCTATGTGTCCTCCCGAATTATATTCTTGCACGTTGCTCTATGTGGTCTCATGCTGCCTGTGCTTCACCACACCATCCATGTGTCTCCCCTCGCCTGCCATCAGCCCCTCAGTTCAGTACCCACCACTCACATCTCACCCCACTGCTGCGATTGCCACGTCACCAGGCCACGTTGGATGCTGAGGTGGCATCACTGAGACACCAACTGCACGCCCTACAGGCAGCGCTGGCCAAGCAGCCGTCCGCAGGTGAGCACAGCGGGCAGTGTGAGCAGAGCGGGCAGTGTGAGCAGAGCGGGCAGTGTGAGCACAGCGAGCAGTGTGAGCACAGCGGGCAGTGTGAGCAGAGCGGGCAGTGTGAGCAGAGCAGGCAGTGTGAGCAGAGCGGGCAGTGTGAGCACAGCGGGCAGTGTGAGCAGAGCGGGCAGTGTGAGCAGAGCGGGCAGTGTGAGCAGAGCGGGCAGTGTGAGCACAGCGGGCAGTGTGAGCAGAGCGGGCAGTGTGAGCAGAGCGGGCAGTGTGAGCAGAGCGGGCAGTGTGAGCAGAGCGGGCAGTGTGAGCAGAGCGGGCAGTGTGAGCAGAGCGGGCAGTGTGAGCAGAGCGGGCAGTGTGAGCAGAGCGGGCAGTGTGAGCAGAGCGGGCAGTGTGAGCAGAGCGGGCAGTGTGAGCACAGCGGGCAGTGTGAGCACAGCGGGCGCCCGGGGCTGCACAGTGGGGTGCTCATTGCCCTCCATTGCCATGCCGCCATTTCCCGTCATTGTCTGGCCGGCCTCTCATCCCGCCATTGCCATCCCTCCCGGCCCGCCATTGGGCATGGCGGCATGCGTAGCAGGGGAGCGCGAGAAGCAACTGGAGCGCCGCCTGAGGGCGCTGTCGGAGAATGTGCAGGGCAAGCAGGTGAGTGCAGGGTGGGTGGGAGAGGACTTGAGGCGGGTGGAGAGGAGTGGAGGCGTGATGTAGCGAGCATTTCTGGGTGACATGTTCCCAAGTGGGCTCCTCTCCTCTTTCCCACAGGACATGATGAGGCATAGCCACACTGTCACCTCACTTCCAAGCTCTGTCTCCGTTCAATCCGAATATGAGGCTCTCACCCCTCTGTTGTAGTTCCCCTTCACCCCCTCTCACCCTCCTTCCCCCCTTCCTCCCTCTTTCCCCTCTCACCACCCTCTTCCACTCCCCCCCTTCCCTCCCCACCCGGCAGGGGCAGGCGGAGGTGCTGAGCAGCGAGGTGGCGTGGCTGCAGCAGAAGCTGGACCACACGCGGGGGGAGCGCGGGCGCCTGCTGCTGGCCGTGGGGGAGCAGAGCGGCGGCAGTGGGGGCGGTTTAGGGAGGGTGGGGGGGTTGCAGGACGAGGTTGAGAGCAGGGAGAGAGGGCGGTGGCGGGGTGAGGGGAGCAGAGAGTGGGGTGGGAGCAGAGGGGCTGAGCACTGTATGGTGGCAGCGCTGAGCTGGATGTGGGGGGTCTGTGCTGGCGGTTCAGGGTGAGTGCATTGCACTGTCAACCACTCGTGTGCACTTCACATGCATTGCACTGTCAACCACTCGTGTGCACTTCACAAGCATTGCCACCTGCCTCCGCCATTTCCCTGCCAGCCATTTCTCATTTCTCATCCTTTATGCTTCCTCCTGCCCCCACGCATGCAATCCCCCATGCAATCCCACTGGCCGCATGCGTGGGTTCATTCAGCACCACATGTGCTCTTCTGCTCTGCGCCTCACCCTCATTGCCTTGCTCAACCTCCCTGCCCACCTGCAGGGCGCGAGGCAGCACGGAGGACGATCCGAGTGGCAAGAGCAAGCAGAGGGCGCTGGGCGTGCGCGTGTGGGAGCAGGTGGTGGACGCCGCACGAGCGCTGGACGCCATGAGTCTGCGCGTCGGCACCGCGCTGCAGCGCAACTCCTTTGTGCGCTCGCTCGTGGTGGCATACGTGCTTGCGCTGCACCTCTCTGTCTTCCTCGTTCTCTCATTTGTCAGCCTTGAACATGCCCTACACAACTACTAGCTTGCAGAGGCAACACCACCGTAATTCCTGAAAAATATAGCCCCTTCTAGTCTTGATCTCTCTAGAACGTATAGCACCATGCACTACCGGTACTTCATTGTGATTACCAGTTCTATACCTGATTGGAACTCGCGCTGTCCTTGATTCTCTTGTCTGGGGAGCAGCGCGAGTTCTGCTCGCTTTGTTTGTCAGGAAACTTTTCCCTGAGTAGTGTGAAGTCAAGTCAATGTACTATATCAAGTCAAATGAAATCGTTTTGACTGTAATTCCCAGGAGTGTCAAGTGCAATTATTTCAGTAGTGGTTGTTAGGCTGAAAAAGCCCTTAGGATCTTTGCAGGACAGAATTCAAGGGTAGGACAATGTAATAGCGGAAGCGTTTAATAAAAGGATTGTGAACCACCTTGCGCTAGTATGTGAGGGCAAAGTTGATTGATTAATAACAAAGAGATACAAGCTTTTATAATAATACAAGGAATATGAAGAGATATGGTTAATAACCGTTTTACTGTTGCTGTTGCGGTTCGATACAGTGTCGACTCGGGCAACTGCTCAGTAGCGAGTCAGTTGTTTGTCCTTGCTGTCGCGCTGTATTTGTCAGGTCAAAGGTCGCTGACCTTTGACTTTCGCGTAACCTCCAGCAGTTGTTCAACCTCCGAGGGTTGACTCGCCGATGTTTCGATATGATCTGCTTCGCTTCTGTCTTGGTGTTTCGACACGACAGAGGCGCTTAAATCAGTTGTTTCCAACACTCCCCTTCGCTTCTGAAGTGTCGCTGCTGGTGACGTGGCTCTGTCCAGTCAGCAGCATGCAATATTCGAACTTCGACTTTCCGAGCTTCTTGGTCAAGTAATCAGCTGCCATCTCGGATGTGGGGCAGTAAGACAGCTCAAGTCTCCCCTTCTCGATCTCGTCCTTTACGAAGAAATATCGCAGGGCGATATGCTTCGTCCTGTTCGCGAATCCATTTTTGTTGGCTATGCGGATTGCCGACTGGTTGTCGCAGAATAGGGAGAAGCTGGGTAACTGAGCCAGTTTCGCTTCCTCCAGGAGTTCTCGAAGGTACAATCCTTCCTTGGTGGCTGAGCAGAGTGCAATATATTCTGCTTCGGCTGAGGAGAGAGCGATTAATTCCTGCTTACTTGACTGCCACGAGATAGGTCCGATAGGTTCGAGGCGATAGATGTAGCCAGTGCGTGAGCGTCTGTTGTCGGGATCGCCGGCGTGATCTGCGTCGACGTAGCCGACTAGTTTAGGTAATGTAGTCCCGTTCTTGTGGTAGGTTAGGCCGACGGTTGCGGTGCTGACGAGATAGTGGAGAGCACGATCGAGTTCGATCATATGTTCTCCTTCAGATCGCTTGAGATAGGTTGCGAGTTGGCTTGCGGAGTACGATAAGTCTGGACGACAAGTAACAGCTGCGAAGAGGAGGCATCCCAGCTTCCTCTGGTAGTTGCGTATGTCGGCGGATTTTAGTGGAGCGGATCCTTCTGTGTTGTTTCTTGCCGTGTAGCGGTATGGCATAGAGATGGTGGTCGGCGTAAGTGAGAAGCGTTTGGCGATGGTGTCGGCGTACTTTGCGGCGTTGAGGTAGATCGCACTTTCTCCTTCCTGAATATTGAGACCAAGGTACTGCGTGACGGTGGATGAGACTGTGAGCGTGAGGTCTTTCTGTAACTCCCCTTCGAACCAGGTAGTAACGTTGTCGGTCGACCTGATGTAGAGTAGATCATCTACGTAGACGATCAATAGAATGTAGTCGTCGCCTTTCGTGAGCCGGTACATGCCTTGGTCGTGCGGTAGCTGTTGGAATCCAATGCGAGTGAGTCGAGCGTGTAAGTACTGCTGCCACAGTCTCGAGGCCTGTTTGATCCCGTACAGGGATTTTTGCAGCTGACAGACTTGGTTGGGCTCTCCGTGGGAACCGTGTGGGAGTTCGACGTAGATTTCGGCGTCAACAGGTGCGTAAAGGAATGCATTGGCGACGTCGATTTGCCGCAGTTTCTTTTTCTTCATAGCGGCGATCGCGAGAAGAATCCGTAGTGAGGTGTGTCGACTGACCGGGGCGAATGTCTCGGTGAAATCGCGTCCGTGCTCTTGGTCGAAGCCGCGTACGACCCATCGTGCCTTGAACTTGTCAATGGTGCCGTCTGCTTTCGTCTTCACACGGAAGACCCACTTCCCGGTGAGTATTGTCTTGTTGTCAGATTTATATGACATAGCTACTGTAGGCTATAGTGGGGTAGCACATATGGGGTACAGTTTTCTAGGGTTTACATTTGTACCCAACTTTTCCTTAGTCATTCATTCCTCGTTTCTTCTCATGGTATCGAGCAGGTTCCCTAATGGGAACGATTCCTAGGGCCCACCACCACGAATTTTTTTTCCTGCCCGGAGCGCGTTTTGCGCCGGCCCGAGTCGCGCCGCCCTTTCGGCCCGTCGCGCCCGTCGCGCCCGTCGCGCCCGTCGCGCCCGTCGCGCCCATCGCCACCTACCTCCGCGGCCCCGCCACCTACCTCCGCGGCCCCGCCACCTACCTGTGCGGCCCCGCCACCTACCTGTGTGGCCCCGCCACCTACCTTCGCGGCCCCGCCACCTCACTGTGCGGCCCCGCCACCTACCTCCGCGGCCCCGCCACCTACCTGTGCGGCCCCGCCACCTACCTTCGCGGCCCCGCCACCTCACTGTGCGGCCCCGCCACCTACCTCCGCGGCCCCGCCACCTACCTGTGCGGCCCCGCCACCTACCTTCGCGGCCCCGCCACCTCACTGTGCGGCCCCGCCACCTACCTCCGCGGCCCCGCCACCTACCTGTGCGGCCCCGCCACCTACCTTCGCGGCCCCGCCACCTACCTTCGCGGCCCCGCCACCTACCTCCGCGGCCCCGCCACTTACCTTTGCGGCCCCGCCGCCTCCTCCCAGCGGCCCCGGACGCCGCCCTCTCAGCGGCCCCGCCGAGCCGCCCAGCAGCCAAGCCGCCCAGCAGCCGAGCCGCCCAGCAGCCGAGCCGCCCAGCAGCCGAGCCGCCGAGCCGCCCAGCCGCCGAGCCGCCCTGTCCGCAGCCGAGCCGCCCAGCAGCCGAGCCGCCCCGCCGCCGAGCCGCCCAGCCGCCGAGCCGCCGAGCCGCCGAGCCGCCCTGCAGCCGAGCCGCCCGAACCGCCCTGTCCGGTAAGAGCAGCGCCTCTCTCACAGCACTGCCCTCGCCCTACTGTTTGCACTGCTAGTCTACTGCTGTCATGGCTACCCCTAGTGTCCTCGCTTTTGACGCTGAGGGTCGAGCCATTGACTTTGACGTCTGGATAGATGACCTGCAGCTTTTCTTACAGTGCGACAGAGCAGACGGCCTCTCCCTCTTTGACCTCACTTCTGGTGCCTCTCCTGCCCCCGCTGCTGATGCTGACGCCACCGTTCGCTCACAGTGGGCCACGCGCGATGCTGCTGCACGTCTTGCTGTGCGTCGCCACCTCCCTACCTCTGAGCGTGCGCACTTTAGCCAGTACAAGAGTGCTCAGACCTTGTACGACGCTGTAGTTGCACGCTACTCCTCCCCTGCCACTGCTGCACTGAGCCGCCTCATGCTACCGTACCTCTTCCCTGACCTTGCTGCCTTTCCCACAGTCGCTGACCTCATTACGCACCTCCGCTCTAGTGACACTCGCTACCGCGCTGCGCTTCCTGCTGAGTTCTGTGCCAAGAACCCCCCCCCCCATGTACATCACCCTCTACTACATAGTCACCCGTCTCCCTGACTCCCTTCGCGTAGTCAGGGACCACTTCCTCTCGGTTTGTCCCACCACTCTCACCGTTGACCTCCTCGAGAAGGCCCTCCTAGCAGCAGAAAAGAGCATCGTCGCTGTAGGAGCCTCTCGTGGTGACCCTCGCACCCCCATCTTTGAGGGGTGTTCCCCCTCCCCTCTTTTGCCCTCTGTTGCCTCTGCTGCTGCGGCCGACCTCGCTGGTTTGGAGTCGGTTGGGGCAGCGTCTACCCCTAGCGGGAGACGCCGCCCTGGCAGGGGCAAGGGGGGCAGGGGCGCTGGAGGAGCTAGCGGGGGCGGTGGAGGCGGCGGTGGAGGTAGTGGAGGAGGTGGGGGTGGCGGTGGGAGTGGTGGCGGGGGTGGAGGTGTAGGTGGCGGCAGTGGAGGCGCAGGAGGCAGCGGCGGTGGCGGAGGGAGCGGAGGTGGCGGCGGTGGAGGAGGAGGCGGCGGAGGAGGTGGAGCTGGTCGGGGTGGCGCTGCGCAGAGGGTCAGCTCCGGTGGTGGTCAGCGCCAGCAGCAGCAGCAGCAGCAGCAGCAGCAGCGCACTCGTGACGTCCCCTCCCCTCAGCAGCTCCGTGAGTGGTACACTGCACGCCAGAGGGGTGGGGGTGCTGGTCCGTGCACCTACGTCCTGCGCACCGGCGACCGCGCGGGTGAGCAGTGCGGGGGTGCGCACTCCACCCAGCGCTGCTTTGGCCGCCTCACGGACGCTTGGCGTCACCAGTTCCCTGAGGCCACTGAGATCCCCCGCTGGGGTGAGCTGTCTAGGGCGGGTGTAGCTGTCTTTGACCTTGACTTTGATGCTATTCTTGCTGCCGTGTATACTGTGACTATTAGTGATGAGGGTGACTGTTACCGGTGTTTTCCGCCCGACCCGGGCATTGAGACTGCTGCTCTAGGTACTGGTGAGGCTGCTGCTCTAGGTGCTAGCGAGGCTGCTGCTCTAGGTGCGTCTGCTCCCTCAGGTGCTGGTGAGTCTGCTCTCTCAGGTTCTGCGTCGGCTTCGGCCTCCCACACCTTCACACTTGACTCGGGGGCTTCTCGCTCCTTCTTTCGAGACCGCACCACACTCACGCCGCTTGGCCGGCCAGTTGCGGTCTCCCTGGCAGACCCCTCTGGGGGTCCTGTCCTTGCTCACTTCTCCACTGTCCTCCCGTGTCCGGCGGCCCCCTCTGGCACCCTGTCTGGTCTCTACCTCCCCTCGTTCTCTACGAACTTGGTGAGTGGTGCTGACCTACAGGATGCGGG